ACTTCGGTAACTGGGCTGGCGCTCCCTCGCATGACAAACCCCGACGGGAATAAGGGACCGGCTGGGGTCTGCTGTGCGCGGAAATCCCGGGGGGGCGGCCCGCGGGCTGCCCGGGAGCTGCTCCTGCTCTCTGAGGGTGAAAACTGGTTTGAGCTGGTTTTTGCACTCTCCCGGACTTGCACTGACTGGTCTGACATATTTTCTTTCTAGGTAAAGAAGGAAGTGGAAAGGCACTGGAGGAGGTGGCCATGGTAGGTTTCCAGCAGAAACACACCAATGCAGGGGCTCCTTGGGCTGTAACGAGCTGTTCTGGCTGTAGAATAGTTAGAGGTTTGCTCTACAGAACTCTGTGTTGCCAACAATCCTAACAGTGTCACAACTGTTTTTAATTTTAGGCAGACTTGGAAATAGCAGAAATAGACAAGCGGACAGCAGAAGTTATCAATACTCAGTTTGAAATCGTCAAGAAAGGTCGGTTGGAGCGCTGTGAGGCGACTGGGGAGGTGGAAGCATGTCATGGTTCCTTAATGGGAATAATAATTCAGTTCTTGCTCACATCCCTCAATATATTTAAACCAGAAAAATAATCCAGCTTTTATCCCTAGTACCTGCAGTAGGTCTAATTTATTTTATAAAAACATTCAATATAATTCAAAGTAGTGCTCTGTAACCATTGGGATTGCACTGGAATTTGGACTTTAGAAGCAAATTTTTGCCAGAAGTGCTTGTAGTCGTTTGCTGTTTGGCTCTGCTGCTAACTAATAATTTAAAGTTATTATTTACTTAGATAACACTTTCTCTTTCTAGTGGAGAAATCCAAAAGGAGTGTTGAAGCCATTGAGGAGGAAGCAGAGCCTCCGTCACTTCCTCTGCCAAAGAAATCCAGAGTTGACAGTCAGTGTCCTTCAGAGACAGAGGCTGAGAGTGTGAATCCAAGAACTGCAAAGGTAAATAGCTGTTCTGTGGGATGACTTTATCCCCAGGATATAAATTCCTGACTGAGCTGATGACTAGGGCTGTCCAGGATGCTCTGAGGGAGACTTCAAACAGCTTCCCTGAGAATTCTAACGATAGGGGAAGGTCACAAAGGCTTGAATGGTGTTTGTTCTGGGCTCTTGTGCCATGAAAAGGAGACTGAGCATTTTGTGTGGAAGTATCTTATCTGAGTATTTTGTGTGGACTCAGCTGTCCCATGAGAGGGCAGTAGCTGATGTGGTGAGTGGTGTGTCCCTCAGGTGAAGGCGTCCACCAAAAAGCCGCCCGTGTCCAGAAGACCCCGGTCAGCGAGAGTGAAGCGCATGAGCAAGAGGTAATGGGGATGTCTCTCTTTCATCTCCAGAAATGCAAACTGAGAGTGTAAATATATCTCTTTCATGGGATGGAGTTTGGTTCAGCAGGGGGTCGGGGAGTTGTGCCATGTTACAGTAAAAAATTGACAATCTGACAATGAATGAAAGATGGACAACTGCCCCTCCTGTGAGGACCAGCTGTCCCCAGCTTTGCAGGTCACTGATGAGTGAGAACCCCTGGGTTTTGTGGTGATTGCCTTGTTTAAGCCTTTGATAAGTGCTTCTACAATTTGTTAAAGGTCATCTTATGAGCAGATGTTTATTTCTATTTAACAGATCAAGCAAAAACAGCTTTATCACTCCAGCTACTGGGAGAATGGGTGATTTCTGTGCTCGGGGAGGTACTTCCATGATCACACCCAGATTTGATTCTAGGTTTGTATTCTGTCAGGTTTCTCTGTTGGTCTGTTAACAGAGAAAATAAATCTCTTTCCCTTCTACCTCTGTTATAATCTGTTATAAGCTGTTTGCTTTATGTCACCTGTTTCCCACACAATCTTTAGTGGCTCTTTGAACATGAAATGAAAGACTTTGACTAGAAGTGCTTTGAGCAAATCCTGCTCACTAATAACTTGTTGTTTCAGGGTGTTCAAGACGCCGGGTTTGCGCACGCCCGCGCTCAACGAGCGCGTTTACACCATCTCTGCCAACGGCAGCCCCCTCGCCGACACCGGGGACGCCTTCCTGACCCTGCCCCTGGGCGGAGGGGAGGTAATTCCTGACACTTCACCTGCAGGGGCTGGAGGGGTGGACAGGCGAGGCCGAAGCTTTGAACCTCTTGGTGCCTCACCAGCTTCAGTTCATCCGCTCGTGTCTCTTTAGCTGTGCCACTGCAGTTCATCAGAGGATTGATCAAGCTTAAAAAGAACCTTAGGAGACTCTTAGTCAGAAGTGGCAGCTGCTTACACAGAATAGAAGGATGTTTTGCTGTGCATTCAAGTAACACTTAAAGTAGCAGTAGTGGCAGTAATGCATTAATGCACTGCAAGGAGGATGTGAGTTGAGCTGTTGGTCAACCTCAACATAGTTCTCTGCCTGTCTGTGGTCTCCTATTATGCTTAGATGTAGTTACTTCTATTTTTTATTTTTTTGCTGCCTCAAGCTGCTGCAGCTGACCAAAAGAAAACCTAAGATTTGGGTTTGTTTCCACAGAGCATACGTTTGACAGCAAAGGATTTGACCAAGAAGAATTTTCTTCAGCTGAACCCCAAGGCCCGGGGGCTCATGAAGAAGTTGTCAGTAAGTCTGGGTGTTTTTGGCAGCCATGACCTGAAGTTGTAAGGCAGTGCTGTCACTGTCATCAGTCAGGGGACTGCTGAGCTGCAATAGAAACCTCTGATTCCCTGCCTGGCCTTGTCTTGTATTGTGGCTCATGTCAGAGGTGAAGAAGCAGCACAGAGCAGGGAAGGAGAGGGAGGGGCTTTACATCACGTCTGGCTGAATACACACTGGGGAAAAGAACTGTTGTCAGTGCTCTGGAAAACAAGAGTGTTGTCTCTTGGGCCAGAGCTGTGGGTGTTTGGGCTGCACCACTGTCTGAGCACTGATTGCTCTTCCCTTACAGGTTTGTCTCGCCCAGGCTTGCAGTGAGGCAAAGAAACCCGTGGATGGAAGTCACTGAACGATGCCATCCCTCTGCAAATATGTGTTACATTTAGGACTGCTACCTTCATTTAGTTCTTCTCATTTGTGTTCCTTTCATTAATTTACAGAATGAAAGCTAAGAGCTAGTTTTTCTATCTATAATATGTACTGTATGTAATGGAATCAAAATAAATTGCATTTTTTTTTTAATTTTTGAAGAAAAATCAGTCTTTATTTCCTTTAAGGCTGAGACCATGACACAGTTCTCTTGGGTTTGCAGACCAGCAAGTGGGCAGAAAGGCTGTTGATTGGCAAGTTAAGAGCAGTCAGAGCAAAGAACTTGGCTTCTCTAGCTCTGTTTAGTATTTTTTTTCTAAAAATTAGCCTGTTTCTTTGTTAGTTGGTGCACTTTGGAGATCCAAGATGTTACCGTAATGCAGACCTCAGCTATATACCATGGATTTGGAAATCTATTTAAGAAGTTTTGGCAGGTTCTAAGTCCTAACTGCAGGTGGCAATATAAACCACTCAGCTACATGTACACCTGCCTTGCTGTCGGAATTCTGTGAACATATTAATTAAAAGCACCGATTAGTTAAGCTCTACATAAAAATTTTCCGCATTTACAGACGTGTAAGTCAAGATTCTGCTTTAAACACGTCTTTACCAGGGAAATTAAGCTAGATTGCTTAGCCTGCCCAGAGAATTTGCTCACCGAGTCGCAGTTCAGGGCCACGCTGAGCAGGGCAGCACACGAGCTTCATACACAGTTTGAATTTAACTCCTTTGCTGGGGGGTAGTAACAGGGAATGGCAATAAGGTCTCAGGTGCTGTTGTGACCCCCTCCCTGAGTGGGGCTGGGGCCTGGCTACAGCCCCAGACTGAACACTACCCTGGGGGAAAGCTCTGAGTCTGGTGCTGTTGGATGTTCCTGAAATAAAAAAAAAAAAAATTTAAAAAATTGTGAATTTTCTTCCCACTTATCCCTGAAACGGTCTGAGAGCCCTGAGGCAGGATGGAGGGGTCGGTGAGCAATGGCAGCCTGCAGTTCAGGGTCTCTCCCCTCCCACCGTGTGGCAGAGTCAGGGCTGTGGTGGGAGGGGGCAGGAGCAGGGCTCTGCTTCAGCTGGAAAGCTTATCTCCCACGGAGGGTGACCTTGTGGTCCAGGAGCCTGGGAAGCTGGATCCTGATGGCATTTGATTGATGGGATCTGAGGAGTCATTCTCCCTCAATGTCAGTCGGCTGCCTCTGCTGACTGCAAATGAAGGCTCGAGAAATGGGACAGTAATCGATGCCAGATGGGAGGTGCAGTTGGAAATGCCCCTGTCTGGGAGCCTCAGCCAGGACAGTGCTGAGGGCATGGCTCGAGCCCACTGAGATGCTCCTGCTTTGTCTTTCTGTCCCTTTTGATTTCACCAGGGCTCAGGATGCAAAGATGTGCCAGCACAGCCCCAGCACTTTGGCTCAGCCTTGCTGTGCCCGGAGAGTGGACAAAGGGATCACAGACAGAAAAGGTCTTTTTGTTTCTGCCTTTCCACCTGTCACCTCCCAGAGCTTTTCAGAGTGGGGGACAGGGCAGCATCTTCCACCTACCATGCTTGAACGGGCCCATTCTGTCCCGTCCCACGGCTTGAGGAGTGACTGTGGCTCCACAGGGAGGGACCAGAGCTGCTCACAGGGCTCTGGGTGACAAATCACCGTGACATTGTTGAGGGGAGCACGTGCATGCAGTGATGGGGTTGTAATGAATTAAGTGCTGCTAGAATTGCTGCGGGACTGCTGTAAGGAATGTGCATGTGTTGTGAGGAGTAGGACACAGGCGTGATGGATATTGTCCATCAGCTGTGATAAAAAGCCTATCATCCCGATATATATTTTCAAAAACTAATTTAAGGCTGAAAGAGATTATTAAAAATGAGGAGAGGAAATTGTCTGGGATATATTTTAAGTCCCTTGCTAGGTAAGATGAATTCCAGAAGTCAAAATACTGCCTGTGGGGTGAAAGGAATCAATGCAGGTGTTGTGGTGGCTCATGATAAGAAGACAGGGCAATTCCACTGCCAGGGGAGAGCATTTGGGGAAGGACAGCCCTTGTCTGGAACTGGTGTGCTGGGGACCAGAAGGCTGAGCTGATCCCACAGCACAGGGACCATCCTGCAGCTGTCAGCCCTCCTCAAGAGAGTGGAGCACAGCACATCTCTGCCCTGAGCCCGGGGTCCACCTGGTCCCCTCCCAGCTCGGTTCCCTTCCCGAGGCTGTGGCCGCTTTGCAGCTGGGCAGTGGAGACACGAGCTGGTGAAGGATCCTGGGGGATCCCAGGGGAAGTAGCTTCTGCAAAATGACATTTACGAGCAGCCTTGCCTGGAGATGCTCGGGAGAGAAGCCCCCACACCTGGTGCTGGGTGGGCTCGGGCTCTGTTCCTCTGCATTTTATTCTCTGTCACTAAGAGGACACATGTCCCTGCACCCCAAGTGCTGTGCCAGCGTGGGTCTAAGGAGGCAAACATGGCCAGCCTGCAACCTGCCATGCCCTGGACATCCGGAAATCTGAGTTTTGATCTTGGCTATTCCCTCACTCTTTCATTTATCTCTCTGTGCTGTTCTCCATGACAAGATCATTAGAAACCCGGTTGCTGTTGCTGAGCTCTTCCTCCTGAGCCGTGTGTAACCACGGACGATGTCTGCAAGACAAGAGGCTTAATTGTGTTCTGCCAGCATCGAGGGGCTGTCAGCCAGGCAAATTTAAAGCCAGGCTGGATGGGGGTGGGAGATGCACCTCCATTACTCACCAGCCTGGATGAGGTTTAGCTTTATTGTATCCGGAAATAACCAGAGCCTGGGAGGTGCTGATTGAAGCCATTTGAAAACACGACAACATCCCCGGGACGAGAGGTGTCTAATCTGATGAAGCCAGAGTGCATTAGGTAAGAGCTGTGCAAAGCGAGGAAAACACAATTAAAGCATTCTTGGGGACAGCTGTCGACCTGCGTCAGGGACAGCGGGGCTGAGACACGGGCACGTGTCTGATGAAAACAATCTGTTTGAAACACTCCTCAATAACAGAGCCCCAGCCACTGCTGGGCTCAGCCTCGGAGGGTCCCACCAGCCACAAACTGGTGCAGGCCCATGCCTATGTGGGGTTCCTCAGGCAGGGCTGGTGGCACCTGCCTGTGCAGCACTGGGGGCATGGCAGGGTTTTGTCTTTGCAGGAAAACAGTCCAGGAGCAAGTCAGTGCCTCATTCCCCAGTGATGGAATAAGGGAGCCGCTGGGATTAGTGCCCCTGCATGGCACATCAGGGCTTTTCCCAGACAAACACCCTTCCTGAGGCTGCCAGACTGACACCTTTCTCACAGTGTGTTGACCAGGCAGCATCCCTTCCCTCCATGCAGAATTTTGTAAGTTTTTGTCTCTAAATAACCCCTTAGAACCCTTCAGGCTGGTGAGGTGCAGGGGTCAGTGCTCTGGCCAGGGAGGCAGCAGTCTCCCTGTCACCACTGTGGTGTCGGGGAAGTGGAAATGGAGGAAATGCTCCTTTTCCTTCAGTGCTCAGAGTGGATTGTGCTTTGTACTCTCTCTTCCCAGATCTGCTGTACAGGAGCTGCATTAAGGATCTGGGTTTCCTGTTGCACATTTGGACAGAGACACCTTCCGCTCTCCCTTTAGACTCCTGCTGTTATAAATAGTGATTAAACCCACACACTTCTGTAAATCGCTGGCAAAAGGAACTTGTATCAAATCATGCTTCTTTGGCAAGAGTTTAAATTGACAGTGACAAGCTTATTTCTAGAAGAAGGTTCTATTTTGGGGAGCTTGATTCATTGTGCCACTTGGCAGTTCTGATGCAGTGTGATGTGATACCTGACACATCCTGTTCCCTGCGAGGCAAAGCAGGGATTTATGCATTGCTGTGAGACAGAGCCACCCGGCTCTCATCAGGTGAGACAACACTGTTAGCAATGATTTTAACAGGCTCAGGGCAACTCTTATCCTTTTGGAGGTCCCTGAGCCTGTTTTTCCCTGGGGATGTACAGCATCCCTGATGTACATTCCATTACCCTGAGAACCTCTATTTACAGTCACAAACCACCATTTATCCAACACACAATTGCCATCACCCAGGAGCACCTAAATCTCACAAAAAGCCTTTTAATTGCCTTGTTAATCTCTTTGTCTCCTGGCATTTAATAGAATTCACTTAAAAATATTTCACAGCATAAACCCCCAGGGCTGAGTGCCATCCCTACAGCTGCCTGGAGGGACAGCCCCACCACCTCCATGCCTGGGACACTGGGAGCATGTGGCTCCACTGTCCTCTCATCCTGGCTGCTGCCCCACTGCTGCCCCATCACACCTGAGCACTCTATCTAGCCCCCGGGGAACAGAGATGCCACATTCCCCTGGGAACTTGTCAGTGGGGCACAAACTTCATTGCAAAGAAGGGACTTGCAAGAAAAACCTGAATTACCCAGTCCTACCAGAAGTGCCCATTTGCAGGGCACGCTGTAAACAGTTGTGCAACAGTCCTCCTGGCCTGACTGACTCGACAGCCTGGTCTGCCAACAGATCACGGCTCATTAAAATGACCTTTTAATTACTGACATCCTCAAAGTCAGACACCATCCTGAAAAAAAGGGTTGTGGGGGCAGGTGCCTGGGGAGAACACCCTGTAAGTGCTCTTCATTGTAATAGAAACTCCAGAAACCTGGAAACAACTCCCCATCTCTCCTCTTTTCCCTTTGCCTCTGCTGTTGGGGCTCCAGAGGTGGCAGGAAAAGGGCAGCTCCTGTTTCCCCAGTGATGGCCAAGCCCATGCCACAGCAGTGGCTCTGGGACCAGTACAGACCTGCTGACAAAGCACAGCTCCTCTGCTTTTGTCTGTGCCCCTTCAGGGGTGGCAGCTGCCCAGGAGCGGCCGCTGTGCCGAGCGATAACGGCGGCTCTTTGTTTGATGCTGAAGGTGCTTGTCAGCCTCAGCGAGATAAAAAGGCCAAAGACATTTATAATTGTGCAATTAAATGTCTCCTGTGCCTTCCAGGTGGCTGTTGCTGCTGTGCAGATGTCCCTGCTGTCAGCAGGCAGCCACGAAATGGAGAAGCAACTGCAGTCACCCATGGCAAGGCTGGTGGGTGCTGCTGGATTGCACCCAGCCCTGTGCCAGTGTCTCACAGCACCGTGCCAGGGTCACCCAGCCCTGCACCAAGGCTGCCTCAACGGGGATGTGCCACAGACCCCAGCACTTGTCTCACCCCTGGCATCCCTCAACAGCTGGCACAAGTGCACTCACCTTGTCCCTGGTCGAGGTGGGTGCAGGGCACCGAGGCAGCCTGGGGGGCACTGGGAGCCCATCCTTTGTGAGGCAGGAGGAGCTAAGGGGTCTGGCCTGGCAGGGCACTGGGAGCCCATCCTTTGTGAGGCAGGAGGAGCTGAGGGGTCTGGCCGTGTTGCAGCCTGTGCAGGGCTCTTCAGACACACCGAGACTGTGGGAGGTGAATATGAGGAGGAGAGAAGGATCTGTCCTGGCAACACTTGAACTGAGAGATCCCTGATTACAATGATAGATGGCACCTGCTTTTCCTGATAATTAGCAGTCATTGGTATTCAAACCTTGCTCTTCCTCCAGAGCCAGGCTCTTTTAACATTCCCTGGGCAGGGGGACACATGCCAGGAAGGCCAGGCTTGTCTGACCCCAGCATGCTGCTGTCAGGGCTGCAGTGGCTCGTCCTGGCCTCACCAGCCATCACAGCAGAGACAGAGCTGTGCAGCCTCGTTGCTGGGAATGTCCAGAAGAGGAGCAGGGAAAATGATGGATTTTGTGTCTGAGACTGGTGAGTGGGAGTGAGGGGTAAGAGGAGAAGCCCTGGCTCCTCCTTTGCCCTCCCCAAAACATGGAGCCACTGGTGGGGCTGACCAAACACTGTGGCAAATGCTCTCAATCAGCACCATGCAATGAAAGTTTTATTTTAAAAAATCCTCCATATGAGCAGCACCTGCCAAGTGCTGAGGCCATCCCTGACTGAGCACGGCTGCACCTTGGGGTTCCCTGGCTGAGCCATAACAGTTCACTGATCCCCACTTGTCACCAGAGCTGTGTCCTCTGGTACAGCGTGGGGATGAGTGGGGTGCACGAGGTGCAAGGCTGGCGCAGGGCTGGCACAGGGGGGTGCCAGGAAGGTCACAGAAGAGAAACAAACCCATTGCCACAGCCCACAGGAGGCACAGCTGCCAATAACTGGGTAAAATCTGCCTCTGCTTGGCTGTGACTGAGAATTTGCTGTTCATCACCCTGCTCCAGAGCTCTAATTATTTCTTTATGGTGCCAGTACAGCCCTGGCCAGGCTCCGAGCTGAGGCTGCCTGAATTAATTGACCAACAGAAGGCAAATAGACTTTGCCCATTCTAAGCACCCATTCAGTCCTTTCCCAGCAGCTGTCACTGCTGTCACTGCACCAACCAGGGCTCCCGTGCCTGTTCCTTGGCATTGAGCAGCCTGGGAAAAAAGAGATGTGAACAAGTGAGAGTCGCATCAAATAATTTCTAAATATCATTGTGCAGAGTTTGCATTTCATGTGCTGGCCACACACAATTCTCATTTACTCAATTGAACAATTAATTACATGGTTTGTGCACGGGAACTCTGCAGCATTTTCCCCTTGCTCAGCAGCATCCCCACACTCACAATGTATGACTGACTATTGCACTTGAACTGACAGCTCCACACTGCAAGCACTTCCATGGTTATCTGGTCCTTGGGATGATGGGAGGGATTCCCACCTGCCCAAACAGCATCTGGCCTCACAGGCCAGGCCATGCACCTTTCTGTTCACACAACACACACTAGCAAAGCAAAGTAGGTATTTTTGTCCCCACTATGAACTGCCAATAGCAAGAAATCACACCCTTGCTAAAGTGGCACTTCCCCCCAGAACACTGAAATGACCCACACAGACAAGCCAGGGCAGGATTAGTGGTTGGTTTTACTCAGGTATTTAGATATCTTTTTATTGCCATCTTCAGTCATGGTTCAATAAATACAAAATTAACAAAAATGTCAATAGATTTTTATTACATTTATTATTGTTGTTGTTATTATTATTATTAAATATTCCAAACCAACTGAGATTCCCTGGAGATGTCTGACTATAGTTCAAACATGAGATGCACACAGTGTCTCTTGTGATATTATATTACATTTATCTCAAGATTATAAAAATATATATTGACTTCTTGAGTGTGTATTTACAGTATTTAACAGGTGGCTAATGAATATAAAAGCATCTGGAGATGAACCAACTTGATTCCTGTTTGGTTTCATGTGAGGGGGGTGTTGCAGGTGCTGCTCCCACAGTACTGGGGCTCCCCCAGCCCAGGGAGGAGGCAGGAGCCTCACGCTGTGCTAGAGGCTGGATGGGAAGAGACCAGAATCATTTTGAGGCATTTCCCTTGGTTGAGCAGCTCCAAAACAGCATTGCTAATTAATTTAATTATACCACTTCCCCAAGGAGAGGGTCTGAGAGGATGCAAGTTAATTTTAAAATCATAACAACAATCTATAGTCTAATCTACTCATTTTGTTATTCCATGCTGGCGAGGAGCTCAATTAAAAGTGTTTATTGTTGCAAGAAACTGGGCTAGGAGCATGTTTCCATTGTGGGCTTTCCTTTCCTTTCTTGAAGGAGAGGCTGGGAAAGCCAACGACTCATGTTCCTGCTGAGTTCGAGCCCATCCCAGAACCCCTCTCCTGTGGGACCCCTGCCCACAGTCACGGCTGTTTCCCACAGGAGCCACGGCCCCCAGCCAACCACCAGCCACTGCAGCCCAGGGAAAAGGCCATGACTATAGATAACTGTGCTGAGGTCTATCTCTTTTCAGCTGGGCAGCATCTGTAGGGACAGAGGAGCAGGTCCCAGCAGCTCTGAGCACAGCCATGGGTGGCATCCACAGCTGGCCCCTCCTTGCATCCCTAACTCTGGAGACAGTGTCTGTCCTGGGGGGTTTGAGGGCACGCATCACTGCCTGCTCATGGCCAGATCTGTTGCCCAGACTGAGGCACTATCACCTCATCACCAAGTCCTGCCTGTCCCCAAGCCTCCTTGACAGCAGCTGCACCAGCCTGGAGCCAGCTCCTCCAGCAGCCACTTCCCAGGGGAGCTCCTGCATCCCAACAGACAGGATGAGCAGGGAGAGGGGGAGAAGACCTGGAATCAAACTGGTTCAACCCCCTGCCTAGAGACCTGTAATATACTTTCTCTATAGATAAAATGTAAACATGAAGAACACATAAATTGCACTTGATCCTTGGGATTGGGCATTTCACCAAATGCAGGGCTCAGTTCACTGCTCTTCCTCTTCGGGGTGGAAAACAGTGGGATGGCAAGTGACCAACCTGACTGGACATGGGCCAGACTTAATTTATTTCTGCTAAAACCTCTAACCAAGAGACATTGGGGAGTGTTGTTTGAACTACAGAGGGGGTGGGAAGGAAAGAGCTTGTTTTGCTCACAGTGTGTGCGGGCAGAGCGATCACCGTGCTGGACCCAAGGGCTGCCTCAGGGCCCTTCACTCAATCCTCATTCAGATCCCCATCCTCTGGGAGCAGGCTAACAGGAAGGTCTGACTGGAGCAGATTTCCAGCCTCACTGTGAGCATCTCCCACAGCCTTCATCCCCTTTGTAAATCTTTGCCTTTCAGCATTAATAATTCACTTGCAATACTTACGGATGATAATAAATGCCCTACAAAACTCCATGCAGGGCTGCAAAGACACATCTAATGAACTAACTTCAAGGAAATTGTATTATTAAGGAGATGCTATTTATGTCTTCGTCAGGGATCGGGCTGCAGCCATGGGAGCTGCCAGTGTGCCAGGCAGGCAGCACTGTGCTCACAAAACAAAGTGTGGATGTGCCCTGGACTGCCTGATGTGCCCTGGATTGCTTGGATGCAGCACCATTTGCTCTGCTCTTTACCAGAGACACCAACTGAGGTGTCAAACACTCAGTGAAGTAACTCTCAGAGAAGAAGGGATGTGGCTGGGAAAGACTTTCCTTCAGCACAGATGGGGAAAGTCACCTCCCAGGAGCTGGGTGAGAGCTGTGCTCTGCTCTCTAAAAATAAAAGCAGTAAAAGCTCCTTGTGGGGTTGCTGGGATCTGTCAGGTTGTATAAAAGTATCCATGGATTCATCAGCAGAATGCTAGATACAGAAACATCAGCTCTGGATTAAGACAGTGCACAAAAGTCCATCCCACCCTATGAACTCAATTACCACCTAAAATGGCATCACTACAGTTTGACTCATCTTACGAAACAGTGCCAGGGAAAGCCACACCCACCCAGGCACACCACATTATCCCAGGAATCCTGGGCTGCCCCGGCTCAGGGGACGGAAGCCCTGCTCTCTTGCTACATGGAATGACGTATTTGGCAGCACCCAGATATTCCCACAGCCCACCTGAGACCACCAGGTTTCACAGACAGGGCTGGCTGGGGCCAGTGGGCAGCTCCTCCCCAGGAGTGCCAGGCTGGTGCTCTGCACCTTTGCAGGGCACTGCTTCACACCTGCACCCCTCGGCCGTGCATCTGGATCACCTGGGCTCGGAGGGTCTGGATCCCGCTCAGGATGGTCTTCTGGTGCTCCACCAGCGTGATCCCCAGGCTGAGGATGTCTCTGCAAAATGAGCCCCATGTCAGCCAGGACAAACCAGCCCTGACTGCCACGTGCCCCGACACCGACTGCTCCCAGGCAAGGGCAGCACCAGCAGATTCCAGACATGCAGGAGTAAGAAATCCCCAGCCTTTCGTCCCAGCTGAAGCAATCCTGACACTGAGCAGGAATCCTGGGCTCACAGGAGCCTGTAGCACGCCAAGTGTGGGACAGCTCCAACCCCACCACCCTGTGCTGTGGCACAACAGCTTATCAGTAAATCACACTGGATTGGGCTCTGCTCTCTGGCAGGGGAAGGAAACACTGATCTCGCTGCGCCCACAACACAAGGTTACAGCCAGGAAACCAGGTCACTTACTGGGCTGTCATCCTGGCCACTGACTCCAGGTAGCAGTAGCCCGCAGCAGTGAAGTTGTCTTTGTACCTGCCCATTTCTATCGTTTCCAGCCACTCGCCTACAGAGCTGAAAGATGGGAAGGCTGAGAAGGTTCCCTCGGAGAAGGGGATGGATGTGCCATGGGACCTGCCAACAGAGCAGGTGGTGAGGAGGGAGTGGGGCATGGCACAGCAGTGGGGGGACGGGCAGGCATGGCAAGAGAGTGGTCACCTGGGGCACGTGGAGCTGGGGCACTTCGGGGGCTCCAGACTCTGCACCAACTTGCTGAGGACATTGTGGATGTGGGAGAACTTGGGCCTCTGGCTGCGGTCCTTCTGCCAGCATTGGAGCATCAGCTGGTGGAGGGGGGGCTGGCAGTTCGCTGGGGCGGGCAGGCGGAACCCGTCCTCCACAGCCTTCATCACCTGCAGTGAGGGGCACGTGAGGGGCTGGGGTCAGGTGCTGCAATGCAAATCAAAGGCAAACTCTGGGGCAAACTCTGGGGCAAACCTCCCTCCTCACACCCCGCCCAGGAGCAGCAGCAGCTCCTCTGTGCGCCGCAAAGCCACCACACACCATCAGCAGTCACCACACCATCATCTACCGCGCGGCCGCGGGACTCACGTCCTGGTGGGACATGTCCCAGTAGGGTCTCTCGCCATAGGACATGACTTCCCACATGACGATGCCGAAGCTCCACACGTCGCTGGCCGGGCTGAAGTGGTGATACTGGATGGCCTCGGGGGCTGACCACAGCACCAGGCTCTTCCCACGCTGGACGGGCAGAAGGGCAGGGATGACGCGCTCGCCCAGCGGGACGTGGCCAGGGCTGGCGATTCCCAGGTGGCCATTTATTGGTCAACGTGCCCTGCCTGGCACCACAAACCCACGGGCCACGAGCACATTTAGTACTAAGAGAAAACTTTTCCCTCAATTTGTTTAAAATGACAGTGCAACTGTACACTACATGGGAGTGCAAGTCCTGAAATATTAATGGGAGAGGAGAGTGTCCCCAGGAAGAGCTGATGGCATTTTATACATTAATATTTAATGAAAACCACCTCAGAGCTGCACAAACACAAGTCCCTTTGCCCTGACTTGTTCTCCTGTAATGAACCATCCCCATGCTGGCATCTGCAGAGCCCTCTGCAGACACACTTGGGGAAGCAGGTGACAGAGACCACTGCTAATTGTAATTAACAGCGGGGAGACCTTGACCCCAAAGCCACACAGCCCTGCTGCAGCACAGTGGGAAAAGCCAGGGCTCCTGCTGGGCTGTCCATCCTGTGGCTCTGCAGGAGGCTCCATCCCCAGGCACAGCAGGGCGTGGCCGTGCAGCAGGGCTGTGGCTGGAACAGGCGTGGTGCTGGGCTGCTGCTGTGCAGTTCCCTGCCCAAACACACTGGATTTCTGAGAAAGAAGCTGAAGGTGCAGAGGTCCTGTTCATACCTGAGGAAGGAAATGGGAACTTAGAAAAAGTGTTGACAACTGAATGTGGAAATGCAGCTCACCATGGTGGAGAAGATGGTTTCCATCTTATCTTCTTGTGGCCGTCTGAACCCAGTGATCTTGCACACCAGGCTGCTGCTCACAAGGACCTTGTGTGCAGCCAGGCTTTTGTGCACGTAGCCCATCTCTGCCAGGTACGCCATGCCAGAGGCAATGCCCTGCAGCATGCAGACGAGCTGCGAGCCCGTGAACTGCCCCTCGTGTTTCTTTGAAAGCAGAGGAGGAAAAGCCAAAGGTGAGCAATGGGGACACAGCCAGCAGAGCCTGAGCTGGGCAGACCCCCCAGAACTCACCCTGAGAAAGGAGTCCAGCAGGCCATTCCCCAGGTACTCCATCACTATCATCATGGTGCTCCCTGCACAGACAGACAAGGAGCACAGCGTGAGTGCCACCATCACTCGGGCAGTCTGGACACCACAGGGGTTAGAAATCCAGGTGCCAATCCCTCCATTGCCTTGGAGAAGACAAGGACTTTATCTTGGCCAGGCTGCAAGGAGCAGTGGGTCCAAGGCTTTCCTGTCATTCCCAGCTAGGATCCTACTGAATTCCAGTATCAGAAATTCCTTTCATCAAGACTCTGAACCACATCACAAAGGACAGCACAGCCCAGCGACAGCAAAAGCACCCAGCTCAGCCAGAATACTTCCTTTCCTAATAAAAAGCCTAGTTAGCACACGTGCTCCAGTTCCTTTGGATTTACATGAATACCCATTTAACTGCTGCATCTGGAGCCTGGTTCAGCACACACACTCATGGGAGAGAGCCAGAGCAGTCAGTCTCATCTGTTTTACTGACAGAATCTCACTTCAATTTGCTTTTATTAAAAGTCCACGGGTTTGGTTGCTAAGCCAGTCCCACTACCTGCATTTATTAATCTAGCTGGAAGCTTTCTATTAATCATCAAAATGCAAAACCAGCTGATACACGTGGGAACATCTGATCTCCCAGGAGCCAAGTGGACCTCCAGCATCAGGTCACCGCTCCAATGCAGCAGCAGGAGTTCATTCCTGCCCAGGAGCCTCCCGGGACCCCCATACCTCTGGTGATGACCCCCTCCAGGCGGATGACGTTGGAGTGGTCAAACTGGCCCATGGTGCAGGCCTCAGCCAGGAAGGAGTGCTGCTGCTTCTCCGAGCAGCCTGCCCGCAGCGTCTGGATGGCCACGGGCAGCTCCCGCTTGCTGGGCAGCTTCAGGCACCCCCGGCACATCTCCCCGAACTCTCCTGTGCAGCAGAGAGATGGGTTAAACAGGTCCATGGCTGCTCAGCACCTGCCCTTCCCGAGGACCTGCCCTGGATCACCCGCGGGTGTTCTCTCCACACTCTGCTCCAGTGCATATTGTGTTTTATCCCACAGGAAGAGGATTAACCCCTTGTCACTGAGCTCATGCTCCAGAGCCTGGCTGCTCTGCCTCCCAGCTTGACATGTACAGAGCCTTCTTTCCAAGGAGCCAAGCATGGCAGGGCCAGAGGGCTCCTGCAGTGCTTGAGGGGGAACATCCCACTGCAGAGCCACACGCTGCACAACAGGAGCTGTGGAATTCCCAACATAAAAAGCCAATATTGGCTTTACAGCAAAAAGTGTATAGCTATGAATAGCTTTATTGATTTGAAAATCAGGTTCTTGTTGGATCAGCAGTGAGACAAACACACCTCCAAATTCCTTAGATTTAAACATTTCCCTGACTAATTTATTTCCTGATTTTTCAAACACCAGTTTGATTCTGAAAGGTACAGGGGTTCATCTGAGCTGCTCCATGCCACAGCTCAGAGACAACCTTGTCCCCTCCTCAGTGTCCTCTCCGCTTCAACACTGTCCTTCAGCTGCAGGAAAAGCCCTTCCCTCCTCCCTTTCTCCACCTCTGCTGCTCCTGCAGCTGAATTTCTCTTTAGGAAAAGAAATGACAAAGAATGATCATGTTTCCCACATTCTGGCACACAGTAGCCATTAAGGCTCTAAGGCTTGGCCAGGGGATTTTAATCTGCTTTTAAATTTTAGGCAGTGAAGTTGATGAAAATCGATAAATCATTAGGTTCACATATTTATAAATAGTTTTCATGTTGCTGTCAAACTGCCCAGATGCAGGTAATTGCTGATGCTTTCTGGTCCACATGGTACTCGCTTGGCTGTGCTCAGTGTCTCAGGAAAACACCAAGAATGTGGAACCAAGCTCCCAGACAAAATCCTTGCCACCCCCACTTGTAACCTCCACTGCAGGCAGGTGCCCCTGAGACAGGAGCAATGTCACAGCACTGCCATGGCCCAGAATGCTGGGGGCGAGAGGGGAGTGCTCTGGCTGGGCACAGGCACAGCCCCTGGCATGGCCACCACCCCGCAGAACTTGCCTGTCCTGATGATTCTCTCAATTTTTATGCTGGCATTATCCAGCTCCTTGGCAAAGAGGTGCACAGCCTGCATGGGGTCTTCGCAGGTGTCGGGGTCAATGTACGTCCTCCTGGTCGGTATTTTAACTGCAGGAAAGGCAGAAACAGCAGATGAGAAGGGCTCAGCAGAGCTTCCCCCCACCCATCCCTGGGTTATTAACAGCAATAAATTCGGGATCCCCACAGTCGCACCAGCCACTTACAGTGGAAGTACAGCTCCTCATCCCCATCCTGGCTGGCTTTGCTGTACCCACACTGCCTGCAAAGAGAATGAAGATGCATTCCAGGACCTGGGCAGCACCCCTTGGCCCAGCTCAGACCCCTCTGGTCCGTACCCAGCCCTGCTCACCTCCTCCAGACCATCACACCGATCACAGTGGACACCAGCACCGTCAGCCCTGCAATGGCCACCACCACAATGATGAGGACGGGGTTCTGCTCACTGGAGGCCACTGTCACTGTGGGAGGGAAGCAGAGCCGGTCAGCTACGTGCCCTGGGGCAGGTCTGAGGAGAGGGACCACCCTGGTCACTGCTCCCATGGCCTGCCCACGTCCTCCAGCCAGCAGGGCCGTGGGAGTAGCCACCCACTTGCTTTTCACCATCCTCACAACGATTCATGTTCTGGTTCAGCTTTATGAACTCAAGCTGGTGGGATCAGCCCAACATGCTGGGCAGTGCTGCAGGCACAGATGGAGCAATCCAGTGTTGCTGCACTAGCTCCTGGTTTTGTTAATCAGAGCTGAGGAAGATTCCTGTTTATCAGAGGGACATATCAAAATTTATGGCTTACAAATAGTTTTCCTTCATCACACTAGCTCTTCTCTTCCTGCTTTTGCAACCAGGGGTATTAAAAAGCTACATTCTCTATAAAACTTTTATTGGCTTCAATTCATTCTGAAACGTCTTCTGTGTGGCAAATGGAGGCAATTTAAAGCCCTGTTAAACACAATCTGCAGGAGTCGTACTGAGTCAGCCAGCTCAGGCTTGCACTTCCAGCCAAGGTGGGGGATTGTGCTGAAGCCCAACATTCTTCCTCCAGCCGTCTTTTAGTGAAATAAGATGCTTCTGAACCACAGTTATGAATGGGAACTGAAAAGGAAAAGCCCCAGCAGACAACATTGATGCTGACTGCCCTGAACCAGCCAAGCAGAGGACAAGCCAACTGCCTACTGAGCCAGGACAGCAGCAGAGTGGAAGGAAGGGGGAGCAGTCACATGTTAAGCACATTTTTGGGTAATCTCAGCCAAAGAGCAGAGACTGTCCCAGTCTCCACACCAGAGAGCGGCTGCCCTCGCTGACACTGCACTGAGAAGAGCCAGGACAGGAACCCCCAGGACAGGCAGGGCACCAAGACCAAACTCATTAAAATCCAATGGGAAAATGCAAGGACAGCAGGTTCCTGGGCAGTACATGCCCTTAGACCTGGAGCAGCAGAACCAGAGGAACAGGTGCTGCTCCATAACACCAGGAGCAGCTGGGGCAGGAGCTGTGAGCGCAGCATCCCCATGGCCCAGCTCAGAGCCCTGACAGGGACAGGGACACGAGCCTTGCTGCACTTACATTCTGCCAGCGTCTCCACTTCAATGCCAGGGTTGTAGTTCCCATAGTCTGGAGAGGAAGATGTTCGGATTTGGAAGATATAGAGGGTACCAGGTTTCAGGTTATTGACCGTCACGGCCGTTGATGTGGTTTTCACAGTCGAGTAACTTTGATCTCTCTGATCCTGTGAAATAATGAGATACCTGAGATGGAGCTGGACTGACAGCTGTGCTGCAGAGCCAGCACAGCACAGCCACATCCTTGCCTCTGGGCCCTGTCAGGAAGCCTGTCCAAGCAGCCAAGCTCCAAGAGAAACAATACCTTCACTGGATGTCTCATTAATAGAAATTACATGGGAAGGTCACAGGAAATGGCAGCTAGAGCTGGATGAGGTGCTATGAGAACGGGGGAGGATGGGGTGGTGGAGAGCAGCTGTGTCATCCTGCACAGCTCCTTCCCCCTGCACCAGAGCTCAGCTGTGGCACTGTCCAGCCCCGTCCTGCTCCCCTGCTGCAGTCATTTAGCCCTGGAGTAAATCCACATAGACTGGCAAACACTGAGGAATCACAGCTGGAAGGTGGAGCCCCGAGGAGCACCCCAGGCCAGTCTGGCACAAGCACAGGCAGTGTCCCAGCCCCACATCCAGCACGGGCAGTGTCCCAGCCCCACGTCCAGCACGGGCAGTGTCCCAGCCCCACATCCAGGACAGGCAGTGTCCCAGCCCCATATCCAGCACGGGCAGTGTCCCAGCCCCACATCCAGCACAGGCAGTGTCCCACCCCCAGGTCCAGCACAGGTAGTGTCCCAGCCCCAGGTCCAGTACAGGCAGTGTCCCAGCCCCACATCCAGCACAGGCAGTGTCCCAGCCCCACATCCAGCACGGGCAGTGTCCCACCCCCTGGTCTGGCACAGGCAGCGATCGCTCACTGCACCACTCACATCGCTACCAAATGTGTTTTCCATTTGATATACTTTTCCTCTAGAATCTCCACAGTTAAAGCAAAAGCTTTAAAAGCAAAGATTAGGAACTAAGTTGATTTTCATGTCAGCATCAAGAGCCTCATTTCAGTGAACAATTGCTAAACTACAGTTAAATTTCCTACCCAAGCAGGACGGATCCTCATTTCATACCCCAAATATTGTGTTGCTGCAGCCCATTTGCACAGGAATTACCATCTCGGGCTCCAGCATTTGCCCTCCCCCACAGATCCCTCCTCTCAAATCTATCAGATGCTGAAAATCACATTAATATGAATCAGCTTCACGGTAGCTGGTTTCTAAATACAGAACACTGACACGTCACCTGCGCAGTGTGCCTGACGTGCCGTCAGCTCCATAACGAGCCTGAGCACACGCAGATAAGGTAATTTGCAGAACTGTGTCATAAACTGCATTTATTTTGATTTAAAGCTTGCCCTTGCTCTGCCCACCGGTATTTCTTTTAAAATTCCCAATCCACTGTCCCTGTCAAAAAGCAGCAATTTTTAAAATCAAGAGACTGTCACTCCTCCTGTGTGAAGGGCCACTCACAGCTCACTACAGTGGCAGGTTCATGGCCCTTGGTCCCAAAACAGTGCAGAGCACAAGATCCAACACTGTCCCAGAGAGTAGGCTGGGAACACAGAGGCCATCTCCTCAAGGAATTCACTGTGGTGTCACAGTCCTGTCTGGCTGGTGTCACACGGTGGGTGGGTGACTGGGACTGGGATGGGGGGCACATGCAGCACCCGGTACTGTGCTCCTGAAAGCAGACCTGGCTGGCAGGAGAAGGACCCAGAGTCGACCGGGGCACAAGCAGAGCCCGAACTGGTGCCCAGCACGTACCTTCTCGTAGTACCTGACCTCGTACTCGGTGCCGTTGGTGCTGGGGAAGCCTGGCTCCTGCCATGACAAGGAGACGCTCTTCTGCTCTACTTTATCCGTGCGGATGTCGGTGACAGGATTTGGTGCTGGAAAAGTGCAGAGCAAAGGGGCAGTGACTGCAGTGCTGCCTCAGTAAAACCCTCAACAATTTAAACAGCTGCAGAGTGTGCAGCTTCTGCAGTTCTTTCTCTCTGAATCAGGACTGAAATAACTTCAATTTGGTGACCATCCAATGGGAGAAGATGGTGGTAAAACACAGTAGCTTTGTAATCTGTGAACAGTCAGGAACACTCCAATGGAAAACTGGCAAGAATCCTAACAGCACCCTCTGCTCTCAGTGCTGCACAGGCATCCGAGCACTGGCTCACATCCTGAGCTCTGAACCCCTGCTAAGGATTTCTGGGAAAGACAAAATGCAATCTTTGATCAGGAGGGCTGATGGGACACACCAAGGCCTCCTCAGCCACTTGGTACTGGATCTGCCCCATGCCAACAAACAGCTGGGAGTATGGGAGGGCCACCCGCCCGCCTGCCCTGCTCTGAGCACAGCCCGTGCCCCAGGAGCTGGCTGTGTATTTCTGGTCAGCACGTGCTCCACGCTGCAGCTCCCTCCCTGACACATGTGAACCCATTTAGTTCATCCACTGCAAGATGCACTTGTCAACTACTCCCATTTTAACCAGGTTTGGCTCCAAAACTGTCTCCAGCCTGTGCAGCCTGGTCACGACCCTCAGGCACAGCAAAAGGTGCAGAGGGATGTTGACTGTTGACTGTTTCCAGCTTGTCCCACTTCCCATGAAATCAGGACATTTGCTGGACTGGTCTCTGTCCCACAGAGATGCCTGTGGAGAGGAACAAGTCCCTGGAAAGCAAACTTAAGTATCCGTGAAATTTTGTATTTATTACTTAGCTCATTAATCTTCACTGAAGAAAAAAGCCCTCCTTATGTTTTATTCACAGTGACTTGCTCCTTGATTCCAAGTCCCTTTGGCTTCCAATGAGAGTGTGAGCGAAGCCAAAGGGGCTCCCACGTAGCTCCCAGTGCCCACACATGGCTCCCTCCACTGTGACCCACCCCGTGGCCTGGGACATCATCAGACATAATCCCCCAGGGAATTCACTGGCCCCAGAGTTGGCCTTGAAGGAGACACTGAACTGTCCCTGCATCAGGAACAGGGAGGGAGCTCACCCCCAGCACGAAGCACGGCAGGAAGGTCAGTGGTGCTCTGTCTGTGTGCTGGTAAAGGGCCAGCACTGGCAACACCCACCTGTGGTGAAGGTTGCCCCAACTCTTGCCTCGAGTCCAGCTCCTATAAACTAAGCTAAGTGCTCCTTGCTGTGTTACATGATTCTCATCAATAAAATATCACACAACTGCCCTCCTGTACCTCTGAATCCAGCAAATGGACTGGAGAGACCTGAACGTGTGGTCTTGACTGTTAACAAAGTCATCAGGAAAAATCCCACTCACTCAGGAACAGGTTGTAGAGCAGAGCCCATGGTACATGCCAGAAAAGCAGGCACCAGCCTCAAACAGGTTTAAAAAGCATTAAAGAAAATCACACAGGCTATAAAGCATTTCACACTGTGAAAAAAATGTGTTTCCCATCAATATTTTAAGCTCTCCTAACATTGCCTCTATTCTGAAAAAGCAAACATTAAATTATTCACCACTCTGCCTGATTTTATAAACTCCATTCCCTTGTACGTGGGTTTTCTCCTCTTGATTAAGCAGAGCAGCAGCAGAACAGGCATAAAACTAGATGTGGGACCATGTCCCTCCTTGGAATGATCCACTGTATCCAAAACCTGCCCTCAGTGAGGGCACCAAACGCCTCTGTGCCCTGCCCTGTTTGTGCCCAACAGAGCCACCTCTCCCCTCCCTCACCAGTTACTGACATCCCAACACAGAACACGCCCTGGGCACCATCCCAGCCAGCTCCCACCTCAGAGTTCTCCATTCCAAACCAGAGAAGCTGCCTCTCAAGTCAGCAGGCAGCTCTTTCAGGGCAAAAACCCCAGGAGTGCAGACCCTCACCCCAGAACCAGCTCATCCCACGGCCCCACTGCCCCCTGGGCACTGCACCAGCCCCAGGCACACGCAGGGAAATCTGCTTCAGAGGATCAAATTCCAGCCAAAATGCCTTCTCCACTCTCAGGAAGAAGGATGCATTCAAGCACTGGCTGCATTATTAATCTGCAGCAGATTTAAAAGCCCTTTAAGGCAGGAGCCGATCCCTGCCAGAAATACAAATGACACGGGCCCAGAGTGCACATTTACATGGCTAATGCAGCTCTGCTCCTGCAGGTAAACAGCTCTGCTCACTCCTCAAACACTTTTATTTAGTCCCATGCTGGGGCCAGATTAGAAAAAACACAGTATTAATTTTGCCTCCTGCAGACTAAATTGCATCTCTTCTTTTCCCTGCAAATATGGGGAATGATGGCCAGTTCCCTCTGGTGACTGCTGGAGAGGAGGGGTAGCGCAGATCTGCACTCAGAGCTGGATTAGAGGGGCTAGATAGGGTCCTGTTTCTTGTTTAATTTTTCCTCTGAACCTGCATATCTGCAGCCAGAGCCCCCCTGTTGCTGCAAATGACTTCCAAGATCACGGCATGACAGCCCCCATGGGCTGTTCAGACATCACTGCTGTTCAGGCATATCTGGAGTCTCCTTTCTCTTGACCTCTGGCCCCATCAGGCATTTCTGTGGTGGCCTCTAATGACGAGGGGCTGCAGGGCTGGGACCCCAGGAGATGGCATGCTCTGCAGAGCAGCTCCACACGCCATCCATGCCAGCCATGGCTGCCTGTCCTGCCTGCACAGGGTCCCCTCCTCACAGTGGGGTCTTACAGGCAAACTCAGCTGCACAGCTGCCTCTCCAGCAGAGGACCTTCTCCCCACCTTCCCCCCCTCTTTGCCAGTGGGCACAGGTTAACCATCACCATCACTCCTTGCCCAGAGTGCCAAGGCAAGAGGAGCCAGGGCACAGGGTTTTCATGCAAAGGTGCCTGCAAGACAGGGCAGCCCCAGCCTGGCATTGCCCAGGAGGGGACACCTTCAGCAGCAAAAACTGTCCATGTTCCCAGAAACTTCCCAAGCCTCAGCTGCTCAGGTAATTCCAAGCCACCATCTGCATCTGGAGACTTGACAGCTCAATGAGAGACATTGATTTTGAACAGATTACAGGATTAATTATCCACATCCTTTATGTGCATTTCAGTTCCCTCAGGAGTACACAGTGTTGAGTAAGAGGCTGAGATTCCCCCTTCCCAAGGGGAAAAGCTGCTCTGAGCAGCCAAGGTACAGGCTGGTATCACGGACTTGCTGCTTTGCTCCCTAAGAGGGCAGGGCATTTGCTGCCCATACCTGGCCTCTTGTGTCAATTCGGAGCCCCAGGCAAGGAGACAGCTCCGGAGCACTGGTCCCTCTGCCTGCACCAGACTGGAGGAACCGCTCATTATTAGACCTCCCCCTATTAAGCTCACCCTTCCCCAGCCTGTTCATTGGCTCACTGGCCTGAGCTTGAGAGGCAGAAGATCTTCCCAGAGCAAAATCCATCCTTGAACAGCCAAGATCCTAATGAGAAATGACACTTCTGCCGAGGAGCAGTCTGCAGCACAGCATCCCCCAACGGATCCAGGGGGGTTATGGTATGAGGGGAGAGAAAGCAACAACGTGCACAAAAACATTTGATCAAGTGGTGGGAAAATTATTTATAGTAAGATCAAAGTTTAATCTCTTCAGATGAAATTGTTGGCCAATTCCTGCCAAGAGGTATGTGAGGATCGTCTGTCTCCATTAACTGTGGTTTGGCAAAGGGTTTTCATGCAAATTAATAATGTAACTGCAGGGGAATGGACAAGGACACAACAAGCCAGAGCTGACTGTCCTTTGGCACAGCCAACAGCCAAGGAAGGACTGACCCCTCTGGCCAGGGCCCCATCCACAGGCAGCCAGGAGCCTGCTTCCCCTCACCTGAGGGAACAGAAATGCCAAATGGGAAACAGAAGGGAATAATTATGACAAGAAATTGTGTCCAGAGACTAGCGCAGGATAAAGAGAGAAAATAAATTTTTTTGTTTCCAAAGGATAGGCAACATTTGAATTATCTGGATTAAGGAGGATTTTTTGTGAATGGGCTGAAAATGTTGCTCCATCAAAGGTATTTTTCTGTGATCTGTAAATTCATCTGCAGCTGGATCATGGAGCAGGCTCATCCCTCAGCAGCCCAGCCTGTCACCACACTCACTCCTTGCCTCCCCACAGCACCCGCCATAACCCCCTGAGAGTGCCACGCACCAGTCTTTGTCCACCCCTCTGCCACCACTGAGCACCACGCCTGTGCCACTGGGGAAAACCGAGTGGAATCAGGGCACTGCCACAGCACAGGCCTGTGGAGCCCGAGGACAGTCCCCACACCACCTCCAGACCCCGTGTGCTCCCAGCAGCAAAGACACCGACCCGTCTTTGGAGCAGACCCACACGTCCCAGAGGTGACGTGCCAGAGCAGAACAGTGCCAGCCACTGCCCCTCGGCGCAGCGGGGGCGAAGCACCGACCCCAGTCCGTGTGTGCCACCCCACACCCTGCCCGTGGCCGTACCTGCGTGGCCGGTGGACACGTTGACCTCGGCGTACTGCGGCCCCGCCAGCGGGCTGACCCCGGAGACGCCGTTGACGGCTGCCACACGGATGGTGTAGTTGGCGTGAGGCAGCAGGTTCACCAGGGTGACGGTGCGCTCCACCAGCCCTGTCTGCTGTGGCACGAAGCCCACGCTGCTGCCACACTGCTCACAGCGGCCCCGCAGCGCCGCCGGGCACCGACCACACCACAGGCTGTAGGTCAGGTCGCTGCGGCCGCCGGCGTCGGCCGGGGCACTCCACTGCAGCACCAGGGACGACTGCCGCAGGCTGTACACCAGGTTCCTCGGGGCAGAGGGCGGGCCTGGAAACAGAAGAGTGTCTTTGCACAGGTGCCAGGACAAACCTATGGGTTCTCTGGGAGCAGCAGCACAGGCTGGCAGACCATGAGAGCGTGGTCCTGGACAGGCACATCACGGGATGGCACAAGGGGACACGGAGGCACTGGTGTGTGCAGCACAGTGGGACGTGGGACAGAGGATCCCTGCTGGAGTGACGTGTGTGCACCACAAGTCACAGTTCACACTGTGTGTGAAAAGCACCCCACTGGACCCAGCACCTCCCCAGGGTTCGGCCCAGGGGCCCAGGAGCACACCAGTGGTCGGACATGCCCAGCCACGCCCGGCAGAGCTGGAGGGTTCCTCATTGCTGTGCCAGCAGCTGGTCAGCATCCATCACTGAAGCAGCTGGAGTCCAATCCAATTAACTAGAGGCCATTTAATTAAAATCTGTGAACTATAGCGACTAAATGACTGTGCCCCAGTTTTACCGGGGAGTCTGAGAACCTGACCATGCATCTGTCTCATCAGACTGCAGCCTCAGCCTGTGAGCTCCATGGCACAGGGACAGCCCCTCCATCCCCTCCCCACTGCAGCAGCACCCCAGTGCAGACAGGATCCCCAGGGATGTGCTCCCACAGGTGAGGACATAGTGCAGGCGGGGGACAGGCTGGGACAGCCCTGGGCACCCCCCTGGCCCTGTGCTGTAGGACAGACACAGTGCCTGAGCCCGGTTCCCTCGCCACGAGGAGCGGCTGCCCCGGTGAGATGGGACGTACGTGTGCAGGACGCGGATGGTGGGTCTGACGGAGACCTGGAGTAGTTCTTCTGGCACGAACAGAACGTGGAGGCTTCCTCGTGCGTGAAGCTGTGCTCAGGGCATGGGGAGCAGAGGGGGAGATGGAGGGAGACCTTGTAAAATCCTGGAAGACAAGCTGAAAGAGAGAGAAGGAGTTATGGGAAGAGCCCCACAAGCTGACTGGGAACACATCTGATGACTGCATTTCCCTGTTTCCTGGGACATCTTTTGCTGCTGCTGGCCAGCAGACACCACCCTCCAAGCTTTCCTTGAGCATCTACATGATTCTGGCACAAAGCAAGGTGTGCACTGGTTTGACCCAGAAGAGACATTTGGGTAGCTCTGCACTGACTTCCATAGTAAATGTCATTCCCTACCTAGGGCACTAGACAAACCAGGAAAAACTATCAACCATTAAAATTATTCCCCAAACTTCCAGCTCCCTCTTTAGATTTGAGAAACCAAACCAAAACTAAGATTACATTCATAGAATGGAGACAGAGCTTGCTTTTTCCTTTAGTTAGGCAGCACTGACCACAACACAGGGCAGAAATATCACTGCATCAGGCAGGACAGGAAAATCAATCCTGTTTACAAACATGACAGGATCCAAGCACTAAGCCCAGAGCCCCCATCCCTTGGATGTGCCTGTCACACAATTCTGACATTTCATCATCGGAATTTGAACATTTCCATTTAGAAGCATCTTTCAGACTGTTCCTCCCTGTTTTCTAACAGCCAGATGTAACTTTACCAAAGTATCTGTCATTAATAATGTCACAAAATGCCCCAGTTTGCACATCCCAGGAACAGGCACCACAACCCTGTGCGAGCACATCCCACAAGGAGTCGTGGGCTTTACTTGCTAATTTTGTTCCTTGGCTGTCCAAAACTTGCCCTTGAGAAGAACAAAGGCACCCAGCACATGTGATGCATCATGTGTGTGTCTCTGTTTCTTTTTTCAGATAAACTCCCACCCTTTTCCACCTCGTCCTACAAGTATTTTTCTTGCTCTGTTTTAGGTGTCCTTGTCATTTTGCAGTGCTTATTTCTGCAGTGGGTACGTGTCAGCTCTCGAGAGATCAGGTCATCAATTTATAGAATGAAATTCTCTTTTCTGTACACTCTTTTCTATCCTGTTCCTTGTCCTCTGGTACTACCACAACTAAATTGTTAAACAATAAAATTCAATAATTCATTCTCCCAGAGGCAAAGAGAAGCAGCCATATGGGTCAGACGGATCAATCATCTCTCTCCAGCTCCACCACTGCTGACCACAGAAGCTCCTCAAGGCGTGCCTGATCCACGTCACTGACAGAGAGAGCATGTTCCCCCTTGGATGTAACACTGCCTGCACACACAGTCAAACCAGCAGCAGAACAAGCCACACTGATTTGTGCTGCAGGTTGGTTGATTACCCAACACAAAGCAACCATGGGAAGGGCTCCTCTCACCACCTCATCTGACACGGCTCCTCGGACGGGAGTGGATGTCTCTGTGAAGAAACAGCAATGATTCCCAGCCTGTGCCATAGGGACAGAGGGCCAATTGAGGATGCAGAGCTGGAAAATGCATGATTTCCTACTCCTGTGGCACAGGACAGCTTTCATTTTCCCTTCCCAGCAAAGTCCTGCCAGCAGCAGAAGTGCTGCATGTGCCAGTGTGGATCAATAACGACCGTGGCCTCACTCAAAACACCTATACTGGCATCTATAATTAACACCACAACTTGGTTGCCTTCCAAAATCAATTCCTTTCTAGTTTTTGTCATGGAATTGTATCTGACAAAGTTCATCTGCTTTAATGTGTGTTAATTTTCTCTGTTGAAGTAGACATTCACAAAAATGATCTTTAGGAAAGCCACACCTGGAAGAACACGCAGCCAGCACTGGGGGGTGTTGCAGTGAGAACTAGAACAGCACCTGGGGGGCTGAGGTGCCCCAGCAGCCTGACAAGAAGAAAATTAAATACACAAAAATATTTAGTAAGACAGTCTTGAAATATCTAACAGAGTGCATTTGCTGAATCCAGCCAAGACTGACAGAACCTTGTTGCTATTTATGCCGGAATGTTCCTCAAGGACACACTGAAGCAGGCACATCCACTGAGCCAAGTGCAATTTACTGTTGTCTCTCTCAGTTCCCTAATGGATCCACCAAACAGTTCCCAGGGAAGGACTGGCTGACCGGCCTCTCCAGGACACCCCGTACCTGCCGAGCACTTTGGCTCACACAGATCCCTCAGCAAGACACGTCCCCACAGTATTTCAACAGCACATCCAGCATGTCCATCCAGCAGCCAGGTATCCATAACCTTAACCTGACAGGAATTCTGCAAACTACTTGTGATGCTTATAATTTTTGGAGTAGTTTGCTCTGAAATTGTCATGGAGCAATTTGTGTCTGGCTCTGCTGTGATTTCCACAGCCATAATTATTCCAGACATACTGTGAACCAGTGATGTAAAATACAACCCAAAGCCTGATAATTACTCCCCAGAGACTGAAGAGAGAGCCCATTTTCCACAGGTGTTCCATGTGCATGGCTGATGGGAAGCAGCACCCACCATCCAGCATTACAGCTGCTGCAGGAGGTGTCACTGATGGGCAAGGCAGATGGATATTCCAGATTCATTCAGCAGAAAGCTCTCCACCCCTTTGGACTGTCACTTTTCCCAGGTCACAAAGGGGCTCCAGCCATGTTCTGATAGAGCACAACACCCAAGAGGAGAAAGCCAAAATGTAGCTCACGCAGGAAACCAAAGTACAAATTTCCACGGTGATTATTCCTCCAGTGACAGGCACAGATTGGCTCCCACAGCCCCTGCTCGCTGCCCTGATCCCATCCCACGGCCTCTGTGGTGTCCCCAGCTCTGGCCCTGCCAAGGACCAGCTCAGTGCAGCTGTGCCAACCCTGCAAGCACAGGGCCTGGCTGTGGGATGCCCACAGCTGCATCTGTGATGAAAGTAAAACCTGGGGCTTTGTGCAACTTACAGAGTCCCAGGAGGAAAAATAAACTTATTATGCATAATCCTCCAGTATCAGTCAGCAGATAAAATACACTCCAGGAGCACATACAGGTTTGTAAGCTAATGTATAAAAGATGAAACAAATAAAAAGCCCCAAGTGCTGTACATTTGTCAGAGCCCCTTTGGAGCAGTGGTGCAGGACAGGAGAATGGACAGGAAAAAGCTTGGCTTTCCTGCAGCAGGAATTAGCAGGGTCTGAAGGCCTATTTGTTTTTTTTTCATCTCTCCTAATTTCACAGTGAGGGCACAAACATTATCTTGGCCCAGCCCTTTTGGCACTTAAATCAGGGTTACAGGGATGCCAGCTCTGACCGAGTTCAAACGCCTTCCCCAGCTCACCTCCTGCATCCCCAGCTGTGCCACAGCTGCCGTCAGTGCCACAGCCCTGCTGCCACCACGGCCCTGCCACGCCACGGGCACCAGCAGCAGCAAAACCCCCACCACCTCCAGTCCACCACCCAGACCTCTCAGGCCCACAAGAGCTGTGACAGAGACTCTGGCTAGGAAGTTTCACCAGCAGACTCGTACCTGTTGAGCTCTCCAAAGCCACAGGTATGGGACCACAGTGGTGCAACCAGGTGTGCTGTGCCATTACCTTACCCCAAACTCCCACTGTATCCACCTGCCTCCAGCTCACGGGCTTTTGTCCTCACTGAAGAATTTCCACAGCCCTGGCTGCTTTCATCAGAAAGCTTTTAAAGCTATTCACTTAGCACTATGCTAATGCGGGGCTGCAAAACAAACACAAAACTTTCAACCCTTAAAAACTATTTTCTGATATTTAACCAGACATCAGACGCTGCTTCACAGAGAGTGACTAATGACCTGCTTTCTGTGAGAGGGGAGAAAAACTTAATTATGTCCATTAAATTACTTCAAATATTTTTCCTCTGAGAATATGAATTATTTAAACTCAACACAGAGAAACCTGAAACATTAGCAAAAGCCTTCTGGGACTCGCTATGTAAATCCCCACTTGAAACAGATGGGGAAAGCATGGCAAGCTGCCACGCAGCCAGGGAAGCAATCAACAGCACCGAGATTTCAATTCGATAGCTTTAATAAGGTCTTCTTAAGGAGAAGCCACTGTCCAGAGCTCTGGGAAGAGCATCCCACTGCCTGGAAGAGGAGGCACCATCAGCACAGTGTAAAACTGAAAAGCCTCGAGTTGTTCCTGAGGGACAGATCCGATTCCGCTGGAAAAGCTCACTCTCCTATTGCACCACCCGCCTCAAATGCAGGAGACCTCTACCTGTCTGGGACTTATTCAGCTGTTTTCTCTCAATCCTTATTGGAGGTGAAAAAGGAGAGGTCCAAGGTATCACTAGGACATAAGGCATGGGCAGCAAAGGGTCTTTTCAGCCGTGTTTTACTGAAGAACTCACCCCCTCTGCCAGATATCAGCTGGCAGTAAGGTGCCCAGGGACAGCATTAGCCCTGGAACTCTCTTTGTTCAGAGACTGACACACTCCAAGGAGGAGCACAGCAGCCAGTATCCCACATTCAGGGTTGATCGCACACCTGGCTCTCACCTGCCTTCAAAAGTGAGATGGAAGTAGTCACAGAGCCTGGCTGGTTAGTGGGACACCCATTAAGGCACATCCATCTTTACAGCTGTCATTAAACGTAACCTTCTGAGCTGCAAAGTCACCACATTATTAAACAGTGTCCAAAGCAAGACAACAGCAATCTTAATGTTCCAGACTAATTTTAACATTATGGATAAAGCTGTGGGAAATGCCTGATGGCATCCAGAGCTCTAGCACATCTGCACAGCCAGCACTGTGCTGCAGAGCAGCCCCGGGCAGCGTGTCCCATGTTCCCAACCACCACCCTCCAAATGAAGGTCTGGTGGTTTGCTGGGGAGCTGCCATTGCCTAAAGAAACATATTGCTGACAATAGGCAATTCCACTTGTCCAAGCTGTGCTCAGGCACCTGAGTGGTCTGGCAGCAGTACAGACTGACACAGATAAAAAACTGCCAGAGGACACCAATGGCACCTTTACCTCTGCATCCCCCGTCCTTCTCCTCAAAGCCGGGGCCGCACGTGCATTTCCCTATGGGGACCAGCCACTCGCCCTCAGTGCTGCAGTGCATCCGGGGGGGATTATCCACGTCCACCTCAGCATGAGCGACACAAGCGCCCTTAACTTCCACCAACGTCGCAAAGGCCGTCTCTGCCACCGTGTCTGGGAACACGGCCAAGTTCTGCACGGTGGTGAGGCATTTCTTGTAATAGACTCGCACAGAGACCAGCGCCACACAGGCACCCATGTCCTGGAAGCCCAGGTGGAAGCCTCTCTTGCTCAGGTGCCCTATCTCCCTCAGCTCGGTGTTCAGCTTCATCTTGCGCTCGCCCAGGTCCCCCTGTGTGAAACTCTCATCAGCAGCGATGGTGTCGATCTTGGTGTGTTTGCTCTCGTGGACGCTCCGGCCCAGGTCGGAGTCAGACTCGACATAGTACAAGTTGAAAGTCTCCTTGCAGGTGCTCATCACGCCAGGGATGCTGTTGCAGTCCCGCAGGGTGAACTTGAGCTCGATGAAGATCCTCTGACCGTCGCGCCTGGCGATCCAGCCCGTCTGCAGCCAGTTGTTCTGATTCGGCTCCATGACGTTGCACACCTGGTACGTGCGGATCGGTTTGTAGTTCTCATCCACGCCGCTGATCTCTTCCCACTGGGGACAGAATACAAAGGTGTAACAGCTCAGGAGCTGCCCCGGCAGAGACACACTAGTCACACCATCATATGAGGACATCAAACATCTTTGCAAACAGCAGCAGCAGCTTCTCTGCCAGGAGAAGTTTTAGCTGGAACAGGACAAATCCTCTGACTGCAAGTGAAATGGTGTTTCCCCAAAGCTACCAGCAGAGATTCTGATCAGTGAAATGATGATTCAACCCTCGCAGCCTGAATGACAACCTGGCAATTTCCCAAAGCAATTCTTTCTGGGGGTAAATTTATGCAAAATAGCCAAAATGTACCCAAAACAGAGTTTCTTCTGCAGACAAACAGCTGGGCCACACAGATGACTCCAGGATCTATCACTATTCCCTCTGAATGCTTTATTTTCATTCCAGAAAAGCAGCTGTAGACCGACCCCAGCAGCAAAGCCAGGGCCTGATCAAACAAACCCTACATGACACAGAGCTCCTGACAACTCCCCCAGCCACAGCCCTCAGATTCCAAGGGCTGGACTGATCCCCAGACCTCCTGCTGGTGTGCAAACCACAACACAAAGCCTTAACTGGTCGGTGTTTATCTGCTTGTTTTAGGAGTGTAAAATCCATTTCGAGGAGGGACTCCACACTAGTTGCACTCAGCCAGCACCTCTCTGTTCCCTGGGGTGCCCGGTGACAATTTGCCCATCGCCCCTGGAACGAGGAGACCCCGCGGCTGCCAGCCCCCCCCCCCCCGGCTCCGTGTAAGCAAAGTGCTCATACTACAGGACTTCAAATGCTGCTGAGCACCAAGAGGCCAACAGACCCTCTCGGGTGGTGCAGGGGGGCAGTCCCACCATTGTGCTTACCCCGTTTGATGGGTGCGAGGTCCAGCCCAGCTCTGCCTGAGATTCCTTCGAGTCCAGCAGGACAACTGCAGGGAAGATAACATGTTAGCAAACCCACTGACACAGGAAACGCCGGTAAAACCCACCCAGTCCAACCACTGGGAAGCTCAGTGTCATGCTGTGCTGGGTCCCAGGGCACGGGAGCAGCTCCCGCCCCGACTCCACCAGCCGTGTCGTCACCGTGTGAGGACCGTGCGCTGCAGAGCTCCCACCTCGCAGGTAGCTCACCAGTGCCCTAACGAGTGTTCCATCCCAGGGACGATCCCTCTGACACCGCAGCCAACCCCGCCACTGTGCCGTGCCTGTAGCGTGCGGATACTGGCACTGAAAGGTACCGGCGGCTGCTTTGAAACAGGGATTTCCCTGGCAGACGACACCCTTTTTCCACAAAACAGCCAATTCTTTCTTTGACAGGAAGAGCTATGTTCCTCAGTTCACAGCTTCACGATGCTTCCACGTTGCCAGCCGGCAAACAGCCACAGCCCCGGACCGGCAGGTTGAGCCTCGCCTCGGGCTCACACACCGGTAACGCGGGGCGCGGCAGCGCATCCCCGGCGGCCGTTTCGCTCGGAGTGCTCCGGGATGCTCCGGGATGCTGTTCCCGGCGCCGGGGCCGGGCGGGTCCGTCCGTGGCGGGGCACCTCCGCGCAGGACGGAACAGAGGGGCTCGAACCGTGGCCCTGCACGGAGCACCGGCAGCGCGGCGCGGGCTAGCGGCGCCGCACGAGCCCATTCCGCCCAACGAGCTTCGGTGCACGCGGGAACCGGGACGTCCCGTCATGCTACCCAGCCACTACCGCGGGGACCCGGCCGCCCTCTCCCGCTCATCCCAGCAGGTCCCCGCGCCCGGAACAAGCGGCGGCACATCCGGCCCACGACCCGGCCGGCCGGCCCCGGAGCGTCCCCCGCCACCGAGCCAGAGCCAGCCTCTCCCGCTACCACGGCAACGCGCAGCCCGACCGCCGCGGGCGAAGCAACGTCGGGTCCGAGCGGCGAGGCCACCGGGCGCGCCGATCCGCCGCGCACGGGGGACACGGCGGCCGGAGCAGCGGGGACACGGGAGCCGCCCACTCGGCCCGCCGGCTCACCCTGCATCGGCGGCGGCGCGGGGCAGCGGCAGGAGCGGCGGGAGCAGGAGCGGCGGAGCAGGAGCGGCAGAGCGGGAGCAAGCGGGAGCACGGCAGCGCAACCCCCGTCTCCATGGCGCCCCAGCCCGCGCCCCCGCGCGCCCGCACCCGCGCCGCCGCCGTCGCGCGCGGCTCCCCGCCCCGCCCCCGACCGCTGACCCCCGCCCCGGGGGCGGGGCCAGCGCCCACCCGGCGCGCAATCGGCGGGAAGGGGCGGTGGCCGAGGCCGGCGCGGGGGTCCGGGTTCTGGGTCCCGCCTGGAGGAGCCCCCGGCACCGGTCCGGGCTCGCTCCTGCCGGGACGGGCCGGCACGCCACGGGCCCGAGCTTTGGGCCGCCTGCGGCTGCCTGCCCAGGGCAGGGGCCTCGCCGCCCCATGGAAGCCAAAGGGCTGCTGAGGCAAGGGCAGCCCTTGCTGATGCTGAGACGCTGCGGCCACAATTAGCAGTGCTGTGCCGCCCCCATCGCCCAGATGATGTTTGCTCCCTGCTGGTGGTAGCTCTTTTCTGCAGCACGGGGCCCAGGAGAGCAGCGGAGTAAATCTCATTCCTGCCCTGGCCTGCAAAAGATGCCTGAGAATGTCAGTTTTACGTCGAGCCCTCTATCCTGCCTTTCTGGGTTGAAATTTGGTTCACAGCTTCATCCCGAGGTCCTTCAAGCCCAACAGCTACTGTAGAAGCAAAAGTGGCCAGAAACCCTGGGAAAAGGCAGGCCCAGGCAGAGTGGGTCCTGCCGGACCCGTGCCAAGGACAGTGCTGTGGCAGCAGGCGTGGCACCGGGAGGCTGTGGGAGAGCTGCCTGAGCTGGGGTGGTGATTCCTGGCTCACTGCAGCCTAGGTACATGCCACCAGGCCCACGGCCTCCTGCTCTGGAGGAGGAACTTGACAAGGTTTGATTACCACTAATTGTAGGTGTTGCAGGTCCCTGCAAAGTTTAGTCAGGCTGAACACCTGCCAGCTTCCCACCTGATGGTGGATACCGTGACACCAAAGCTTGCTTATGTAGCAACATTTGTTCCTGTGGGATGTTCCCTTTGCTGTGATTATGTGCTGTCAAATGTAAAACATTGCAAGTCTAGAATAAAAATACTGAACCTCCATCTGACTCAGCCCAGCCGGGCTATGGCACCCTGTGCATGGCCCCTGCTCACAGGGGTGGGTACTCGGACCACAGGCCAAGCCCAGCTGGACACCTGGAGCCAGAGGGTGTTTCCAGCTTTCCCTTCATCTCTCAGCACCTCTGCAGACAGTCACTACCTTTTCTTTCTGTGTTGACCTGGTGACAAAGTCTCCATTCATTTGTCAATGCTTTTCCCATCCTTGAGACCTCAACATGGGCCGGTGCTTTGGGTGCTGCTGCACCAGCCCTTGGAGCCAGATCCGCTCCCGCTGTGCAACTGCAGCCCAGCAGCTCCTGGAACAGCCCTGATGATTGGGGGCACAGGTTCATATGATCAAAACTCTCTCTCCATCACGTTACAGGGCAGGGAAGCAAAAGACAGGGTTTATTTATAATCTTCCTCAAGTGGAAACCAGAAGAAGTGACCCGTTATTACTGGAGATTTCTCAAGCCACCCAGGAAGAAAAGTGATATTTAGTTGTCGTTAAAGGCTCAGAACTGCATAACAATTTCATGCTATGTTAACTTCTAGGTTTTCCTTCGCATATAAATTTTTAAGGAGTAAAATAGAAAAACCGAAGCACTTGACCTTTAATCACAGTTATTTGTGTGATCAGTCAAGTGTGGGAAAAAGCTAGTTTGTGCTTGAAAGATGCCCTTTAAAGCCAGATTGCTCTAATATGACACACAACTCTCACAGTGTAATACAAAGGATCTCGCTTGCCCGCCTGCAGGCACAGGAGCTCCTGTTTAGTATTCACACACTGGGTCTTGCTGCTGGGACAGTGGAAGGTATCAATGTCATGAAGCAAATCAGTCCAAGCCCCTGGGACAGCTCCATTCACTGCCGAGCCCCACAGGCGTGAACACTTTCCTGTCAGTGAGGAGCCAAGCAGGGAAGAGGATTTTGGATGTATATGGACGATTTGATGTTAGATATGTTTCACTAGAAGAAGGGTCTGTCATGCAAATATAGTACATGGCTTTTCCACTTATCTGAAATATTATTCCAAGCACTTATAAAATCTTTATATTAGAACAATCTTTTAATCAAGATTAAAAATTAAATTAAATTAAATTTTTTTAAAAAATTAAAAATTAAAAAATCTTTTAATCAAGATTTTGAAGTATCATATTGTTTTGGGGAAATGATCTCATGAATTTTTCTTTGGCAACACCAGATGACTAAAAGCCATTGCTGGGGTGAAGGAAGCAGAGCAGCCTTTAATGGAGACTATTGGATTTCTTCACTGTCAGGCACAGTGTATGAGCAGGGCCAGGCCTCTGAGCCCAAAGATGAACTAGGGAGCAGGACAGAGGGGTCAGGGAACACAGCACAGGGGTGCACAGCAGACAGCTCCTCGAGCACCAGCAGCACAACAAGGGGCCAGTTTCTGCAGGCAAAGAAAGAGGAATACCCAGATTGCTTCTCACCTCTGCTGCTCACATCCAGCTCTGGGGCTGCTGCTCTGACCTGCTCCAGGGTGCTGCCAGAGCTACAGGTTGAGCCTGTGGAGACAAGCAGGAAAGCAAAGACACCAGGTCATCCAGGCTCCAGATTGCCAGGGGAACTTGTGCGACGAGCAGGGCCAGCCCAGAAAACGTGTAATTGGCCGAGCTGAGATATTACCTGCTCTAAGTGGAGACAGAAAAGTAGTTTTGTCACCACAGTGAAAATAACCCTCCTGGGGAAAAAAAATCAATACAAACACCAAGGAAAGAGAATCAGAATCCAAGACCATCAATTCCTGAGATAAAGAGTTGAAAGTCTCAGTGGGAGGACAGCCAGATCTGGACTGAAAAACAAAACTTTGCTTCTTTTGCTGACAAATTACTTTTTATGCGAAAGGACAAAGGAGCCGGGAGGATGCAGGCCTTAATGTATGGCTGGAAGAGCAATCCTTGACAAAAGACAGAGCAGGCAGAAACCTCATGGAAGCTTTTGCACTTCTCCTTTCTCTTCCACACTTGAAAGGATTTTCCTACAATGGAAAACAAGGGATTTGTGCAATTTCATACTGTTTTGGGCTTGTCACACAAACATGCTCCAGGACTTTTGTTGCCTCTGCTGTGACAAAGGCAGAGCCAGAGCAGAGGAGGCAACAGCAATACAGCACAAGTGTGTGTGGCATTAGGGAATATCCCACTGAGGAAAGTGGCTCAGGTAATCTGGTCCCATTGGCACCTCCCCAGCCCCCACTCCTATCTGATCCCAAGGATCAAACTCCACTTCCCAGGGGCACAACACTCCATCAAAGCCAGTGCTGGCCAATCCCTCTCGCCCTCCTACTACCTGGCAGAAATCACAGTGAAAATGAAAGCTGATGTAAAGCTTCCCTATAAATCTCATGTCCAAAGCTGCACAGCTCAGCCTCATGGCTGCAAAGGAAAAACCCTTCTACCTTCTAGGCTGTTCATCTGCAAATACAAAGCAACCAGAGCTGTGCAGTTGTTTTTAATAGCTCAGTCTTTTTGTCAGATGTGTACTCTTTGCTTCAGGATCTCTGCACTATAAATGTTTTGCAGCAGCTCTTTAGCTTTTAAGGTAATCACATAAAAGACCCTTGACTGCATAAAGGCAGCTAATCTGGGTAAATGCCTTTAAGCATCTTTACGTTTCTTGCTAACGGATTTCCAGGCAGCCCACAGAGATCCACGTTCTAGAAAATAATGTAAAATAGAGTAACTGTCTAATTTTTTTAAATGCCTCACATTCATCATATACTGAGAAAATTCAGAGCTCCAGGCAGCATAAAATCATTACACTTACATAAGTCATACCCATTCTGTCATCATCAGTATGAATCCAGCCTTTGGCTGGGGCACGGATCCACTCGACATTAAGTTCCAACTCGACCAGAGACAAATTACC